AAGTAGCTTCGAACCCCCCTTCAGCCAGGGCCTTCTGGCTGGAAAATCCAACAGAAGGAGGGGGTAGCTTTGGAAGCCCCCCCTCCTCCTTTGGTAAGGGGAGCCTGGGCTTACCCTGGGCCCCGAAAAGAAGGGGTGTAGCTTCCAAGCCCCTCCCTTTTGCTGGAGCCCCCCGAACAAAAAATGCAGACGAAAGGGGGGGAGGGGGGGGGAGCCTGGGAAGCCCCCCCCCCGTTTCCAAGGGAGAGGGGGTAGCTTGGAGCTGGGGCCCCTCTTTTAGTAAGAGGTGTGCACGAATGCGCTCTTTCACATATCTGCAACCGATGGATCCACATCTTGACAAAGGTATGATGGACATATTTGCGACCGACAGGTACACATCTCTGCCACCGAAGGTCGGCATCTAGGTAAACATATAGTAGGCATCGTTGGCACATCGGGATGGACATGTACATTTACACCTGACTGACATATGGCAGAAAACATCTGCCATCGAGATGTATGCACGTTGACTGCATCGGGTATGTCCGTAAATCCAAAACTACATACACATGTGTGCACAAATGTACAAAATGGAAGCTTCAGGATGAAATCGAAGCGGGGAAGCCCACCCCCCTACCCAGGAGCCTCCAACCCTACCCGCCAGGCCCACGCGGTTTGTTAGAGTTGAAAGGGGGGTCTAGCCCACATCACCCCACCATCGCTGACGCCGACAAGCGTCTTCAACGCACCAACGCACTACATACAACCGGACGTTACCATCGCCGTCAACATTATCTTAAATTTTACCACCTTCATCGCCGCCGTCGCCATCATTCCGACCATCGCCACGTCGTCGTCGTCGTCGTCGCATCCTGCCTCCAGCAATATCCTCCCCGCCCTCCTCCTCCTCCTTCCACCTCCTCTTCCTCTTCCCCATCCTTCTCCTCCTCCTCCTTGCATCAGGGTTCCACCTGAAATTGAATGGGAACCTGTTTCGTCCATATCATCTTCATTATGCTCGCTCTCCTCCTCCTCCTCTTCTTCCTCCTCCGCCTATTCCTCCGCCTCCGCCTCCTTCGCCTCATCATGTTCCTCCTCCTCCTCCGCCTCCTTCTCCATTCCTTGTCCTTATGAACAACTCCTCCCCGTCGCACCCCGAGGCCAGTCAGAAGGGAGGGCCGGGCGTTTCGCCTGAGACTTCCTTCTCATTTTATGAACCTGAAACTTAGAAACTGGCAGCAGCTTCGCAAGTGGAAGCGGCTCGCTTCCAAAATGTGGCTCTCGACTTAGCGCCGCGCACGCTCGTTTTTAAAAGCTGCAGGAGCATCACGAATTGAGGGCGGGTCGTTTAAAAAATGTGGCTCTCGCCTTAGCGCCGCGCTTATTCGTTTCAAACATTTGCAATAACTAGTTTCACGGATTGAGGACAGGTCGTTTTCAAGATGTGGCTCTCGAGTTGCCGCCGCGCAGATTCGTTATACATATGTGCAAGAGCTTCACGCATTGAGGGCGGTTCCTTTTTTGACAGCGGCACTCGCCTTGGCGCCGCGCACACTGTTTTTAAACAATTGCAAGAATTTCGCGGGTTTCCAAAGTGAGCGTTCCAGAAATTTCATGTCCGAGTGGTTCAGGATTGTCAGGGCGCAATAGTTACGTTGATTCGGATGTTGAAATCCTAAGAATGGTGTTCTGGCACGATTCAGGATCGTTAAAACGCAAAAATCACGTTGATCCGTGAAGCAGAAATCCTGAAAATGGTGTTTGGGCGCGCTTCAGGATTTTCACACGGCTGTCTCCCTACGGGGCATTTCCCCCGGTGGAACTGAATACATGTGTGGGGCCTGTGAAGAAAGAACATAAAATGGAGGGTGTATCCCAACATCGTTGACGAGTCTTGGTTTTACAATGGTCCTCCTCCTCGTTCTCCTCCTCCTCCTCCCTCCTTTAACCTTCCCTATCCTTCCCTTCCGGTTCATCATCCTTCCTCCTCCTCATCTTCTTGGTAAAAGAAATTATGGTTGACGCCCCTCTCTTTCCACCGCATGAAATTAGGTTTCTTTCGTCAGGGCAACTCGACTGGGCATCGTTCCTGGATGGAATGGGATACGCGAAGCGTGAAGAACTGTGGGGGGAGGAAATTCACTGGGGCCGCTCGCGCACTGGAAAAAAACATGCAGCAGCATACGGTCGGGAACTTTTGCTTAGCACGGCGCCGCGGAAGCCCCGGCGACACGCTATGCCTTGCGAGTGGATAGCGTGTCGCTCAGTTCCGCGGGACAGGAAGCTCAAACAAAAACTCGGCACAGGGGGCGCCTCGGGACGGCGGAGCGGATAGCTTGTCGCGCCGAGACCTAGCGGGCCAGAACCAGCGGAGCGACACGCCACCCAAAAATGGCCGACCGCATCCGCGTATTCATTGGAACCGGTCGCGCGCTGGAGCAAAAACCACCAGCAAGCAGCAACACGTCCGCCTGCGCGCGAAGCCCCGCCAAGAATCGAGCACCCGCCAAGGCCACCACTTCCAGACTGGAACCCAAGGGCGCCATCTTCGAACTGCGAATGGCACTTACCGCGTGCGCGCTGCAAGATTAAAGCAACAATCCATGACATAAGCATCCATGTTCTGAGATCCGCGCGAACCTCCTGAAGTCCATGGTTACGTCATTGCTTGCATCCCGAAAATTGCACTCTCCAGTGTACCCGCGCACGCGCCTGCAGACGTGATGATAACCACCAGGAGCTTGGCGCTGACATGGGCTCGGAGCCCGTGGTCGTGGTCGCGGCGCCAGCGATCGCTCAGCACGGGAGGGCATGGGTCGGGATGCGAGACAGCGAGTGAACACCATGAAGGCGGGGGAAGGCGAGGACGGGCGCGGAGAGGGGACACTGCGGGCGGGCGAGGCGCTCAGAACATGTAGTCCATCACGCCGGCGTGGCGGCCCAAGCTCCAGGCAGGAGTCATACGAAGTGGTGGCCCAAGGGCTGCTCAGCGCGATCCTGCCAGGGTGCAGCACGGTGCAGGAACCCCAAGAGCAGCAACGTTGCCGATTATCGGGCCCCCGCCAAGCTCCCCTCCGACGCCGAGCCCTGCGCCGTAGAGTGAACACGGCACCAGCCGCCCGCAAGCGGGCGAGTCCGGGCAGGGACGCGGGCGTGACAATATACTCAGGGAAGGGGAATTCGTCGGACAGGGGCGATCAGGGGCGGCGACCATCGTAGGAGGGGGAAAGGAACAACCGTGAGGCGCTGGTCCCCGTGGAGGTAACTGCCTGGGTTGCGCGCCCTTTTGACAGACCGCCTCCGGCAGAGGCAGCTCGGGTATTTGCCCCCGACTGGCCGTTGCGCTTGCCACAGGCATCTGGCAACTGTGCTGTCGCAGCGTGACGCCCAGTGGCATGAGTGCATACGACCCATGCTTGATGCGGAGACCCACGCAGGCGAACCGCACTGAACCGAACTCGTTATGCTCCTCCTCCTGGTAGCTGGCACGTAGCTGTTGGCTACTGTGTCTACCCGACGCAGCCATCCCTCCTCCCAGGGGCGATTGCCCCTTGGGGGGGGGGAATCAAACTAGGGTTCCTGTACAAAGAATCAGCGTGACAGGCAGAACCCCCCAGGGGCGGGGTAGCCACGTCCCCCTGCACCCTGGGGGAAGAAGAAGAGGGGGAGGCCCCCGATATAATCTATAACCACGAGGAAGGGAGGAATGGTTGGGTTTTCCTCCTCCTCCTCCTCCTCCTACTCCGCTTCCTCCTCCTCCTCCTTCCCATGCGCACCCCAGCAACACCCCCCCCCAGGCTACAGCCCGCCCAAGACTCCGACCCGGACCTACGGTGTCCTCTTTCAGTGCGCACCGCTCAAGCGCTCTCACGAGCCCATCGTCCGCACGGATCTCGCGCCGCGGATCGATGATGATCATCATCATCATCATCATCATCATCATCATCATCATCATCATCATCATCATCATCATCATCATCATCAGAGGAGGAGGAGGAGGAGGAGGAGGAGGAGGAGGAGGAGGAGGAGGACCAGTGGACACCTGAGAGTCACCAACGATGTTGGAATAAACCCTCCCTCCAAACTCTCTCTCCATAGGCCCCTACAACGGTTCATTTCCGTTTGAAGACCCTGAAGCATGCCAAAACAATGTTTTTACGACTCCAACGCCACGGATCAACCTGACTGCTGCGTCTTGACGATCTTGCATTGTGCCAGAACACAATTTCTGAGACTTCACACAGCGAGTCAAATCGAATCAACGTAACTGTTGCGCCCTCATAATCCTGAACCCTTCCCAAAACAACATGCTTGGTACGCTGATCATGGGAAACCGTCAAACTCTTGCAAGTTGTTTAAACGAATGCGCGCGGCGCTAAAGCGAGAGCCACATTTTGAAAAGGAGCCACCCTCAAACCCGTGAAACTCTTCCAATGTTTTACAACGAGTGAGCGCGGCGCTAAAGCGAGAACCACATTTTGAAAACGACCCGCCCTCATTCCGTGACAAACAAATTTTCGCGGCGCTAAGGCCCAGCCACATCCTGAAAACGACCCGCCCTTACTCCATGAAACTCTTGCAAGTGTTTAAAACGAATTTGCGCGGTGCGAAGGCAAGAGCCACATTTTGAACACCAACCGCCTTCAATCCGTGAGATTCTTGCAACTTTTTGCAAGAATGTGCGCGGCGCTGAGGCGAGAGCCACATTTTGAAAACCACCCGCCCTCCATTTGTGAAGCTGTTGCCATTCTCTAAGGTTCAGGATCATAAATGGTGAGGAAGTCTCAGGCGAAACGCCCGGCCCGCGCTAAAAACTGGCCTCGGGGTGCGACAGGGAGAATTTATTTGTAAGGAAAAGGAATGGAGAAGGAGGAGGAGGAGGAGGAGGAGGAGGAGGAGGAGGGTAGCGCCAACGTGTGCTTGTCCACGAAAACCCTTCGAGAAGACGCGGGCGGTGTAATGAGGTCCGACCCAAGCTGCGCGCCTTCGGCGGAGCTGAGCGAGGAAACACGCACACACACACACACACACACACACACACTCGGGTAGCATACGTCCTGAAGATCACCAAATCGATTCTTGCCCGAGTCCGAGATGCAAGCCGGCCGCCCCGATTTTCTCCGGGACGCCAGGACGCCGCAGAAGCCACGGGCGCGGCGCGGTGCCCGAGCTGCGCGGCAGCTCACCGCCCCCTCTGCCATGCCGGGAGCCTGGGTGAGACCGTGCCGCATGTGGCGGCGGACAGCGCCCGACGGCCCAGCCGGACGGCCGACCGGCCCGCCTCCCCGCTCCCGCCGCGTGCACCGGCAGGGTGGCGGACAACACCTGGCGGCCAAGCCAGACGGGTCGACAGGCCCGCCACCCCGCGGCGTGGCCCACCTTGGAACTCCCGGCGTGCGCCCGGGCCAGCGGCGGCGGCCCCCCGGAGCGGCAGGGCTGCCGGCTCTGCAGGGAGGGGGGCCGGAGCCGCCGCGCCCCCAAACGCGGCCGCGGCAGCACCCCGCGAGCCCCCTGCGGAGACGGCGGCTCACGCGGCCAGCGCCTCGCCGAGGTCCTGGATGAGGTCATCGACGTCCTCGATGCCCACGCTCAGGCGCAGAGTCGTGTCGAAGATGCCAACCGCCGCGCGCGCTTCTGGCGTCATCGAGGCGTGCGACATCGACGCGCTGTGGTTGATCATGCTCTCGACCTTCGGAGCGCGCGGGGGCCCGCGCAGGTCGCTCGCAGAGGGAGCGTGCACGATGAGCAGGGCCGCTCGGGCGAGTCAGCATCAGAGCTCACGGACTTGCTTTTCGGGCGCACGCTAACGCGGATGAGGGAAAATGTCCCCAGAAACGTGGCGCCAAGATGCGCCAGAGTGCCCCCTGATTTGGCGACAGGGCGCGTCGATTCTGCACGGAAACGGGACCCGTCGCTAATCTACGCGCCTTGATCCATGTCTGCACTTCCTCAAACTTTACTTCGAACACATACGGACACAAGCGCGCATTACTGCCAGAGCCAGTATTCCCAAGCAGCGTGTTTAAAGCAAGGGTGGCTCTCAAGTCTGCTCGCGCGCCCTCCGAGCCTCAAACGTCTTCCTGCTCTGATCGGTCTGCACCCTCGTCGTTGCCATCTTCGTCGTCGTCGTCGTCCTCCTCCTCCTCCTTCTCTTCCTCCCCCTCCTCCTCCTCCTCCCCCTGTTCTCGAAATCCTTGTCCTCCTCCTCCTTCGTCCTCCTCCTCCTCATCCTCATCCTTCCGCTCCCCCGCCTCCTTTTCATCCTCCTCCTGCTCCTCCTGCTCCTGCTCCTCCTATTCCTCCTCCTCCTCCTTCTCCTCCTCCCCCTCCTCCTCCTTCTCCTCCTAACTCCCCGTAATCCTCTCTATCCTCCTGAGAAAATTCCTCCTTCTCGTCATACTGACAATACTACTACTACTACTACTACTACTACTACTACTACTACTACTACTACTACTACTACTACTACTACTACTACTACTACTACTACTACTACTACTTACTACTACTACT